AGACAGTTCTTCAATGTACAAATCTGCACTTCAGTCACATCTGCTGAAGAGATTTCACAGAAGCAGCAAACACAGTTGGCGTGTTGCGGTCCTCTTGGCGTCACCATCCCCTCGATTCAGTTACACCTCTCCACATTTAGTTCACTCCTTGGGTTGACTCATTATAATGTTTCTAATCACAGCAGGTGTTGTCTAATAATGTGCGAGCACGCCGCACTCGTGTTTGTCTGAAGCTGCGATTCCCATACACCGTCACCCGCGTGTTCCTCTCCGTGTGATACGCAGCGAAAAAACTTTCTGAATCAAAGCCAAGCATGCACACACACACACACACACACACACACACACACACACACACACACACACACACTTTTCTCATGGGAACCAGCTTTTTGCACCCTCTCTCTCTCTCTTTTTTTCTTTTCTATATTTCTCTCTCTCTTGCACACACACAGACAAGGTCACAATTTGTCTTTCACGTTTAATTCTTTCCATATATTCTCTTTTTTCTCTCTCTCTCTCTCTTCCTTTCACACGCAAAAAACCAGACGCACATTTTTCTCATGCACATAAACACACACACACACACACACACGCACATGCACACACACACACACATACGCACACAGGCTACAGTTGCATCACTGGTGAATTACCATGCCGTTCCGCGTTATTAAACATGACACTCGGCCCAGATAATGGAGCCTTTCTTCATCTCAATTTGGAAGGCTAATCTTATTGCTTTGATTAGCAGCAGCTTCATTTGCATATCAAGGCCTCCCCTCCTTTAATTCCTCCATCGCAAATCCCCTCTTTATAGCTGTAGATAAAAGGAATCTATCTATATGTATCTTTCTTTAGAATCTTTTCTTCCTTCCCCCTCTTCCCCTCCTTCGCCCCCCCTTCTCCTTCATTTGTTCATATTCTTGTTTTCTCTTTTCTTGCTTTTCATATTCGTCATCAGTTCTGCTCAGACGTCTTTATTTCTTCACATACACAGAAAGATAATAAAACGAGCAGAGGCGAAAAGTGAAGCGCTGGTCGGCATGTGATCGGATGAGGTAATGGTCAGTAAACTTAGTTACTCATTTATCCAGTGTGGTTCACACTTAAAGAGGGGAAACGAGAGATCAGAAAAAAAAGGGAACGTTTCAGCAAAAGTTTAATCTACAAGCTGCTATTAAAGTGTAACCGCAAGGTTACAACATCGGCTATAAACGGCTGCACTTTGCCCACGATTCACCTTGACCTTGAGGCGAGTAAACACAAATAAACGGAGAGAAGACAATTAGTCCGGGACGTTCTGCATAACACATTTTTGTGGCAAGAGATGTGCCGTGTGGAGACGGGACAACCGTCGCTCCAGCACAGTGAACGTCAAATGCATAAGTCTGTGTCTTCTTGTCACATGTGATGGCTTATTTGTACGCACCCGTTACCTCATATGGGTCGGTGATACCACAAACCCATACCAATAATACCACTGCCAGAATCACCAATACTGATAATGATACAACTTATTATGAAAAGCTGCTAATGTAGGGAAGAGTACTATTTACATACAGCAATTATCTGGCTTGTCATTTATTAGTTGATTATATTTCATATTAATAATCTTAATCTGCAAAGTAACTAGCAACTAAATCTGTTAAATAAATGTAGTTGTGAAAAGTACAATATTTGTTTAGTGGACTAGAAGTAGTAAGCAGCAGAAAATGGAAATATTCCACTAAAACAAAAGTACCTCAGAACTCTTCTTAAAGGAGCTATTTGTCTATTTGCGAACGTTAGCATCAACAGCTGTTGACGTACAAGTCTAGAGGAAACGTTGTGAGATCAGCATCAAACTTAATTTCTAAACAGATATTAACACCATCACGTCTTTTCTTCTACTGAAGTTAGCATGCTAACCAGCTAGCTGCGGCTCGTCTCATCACTTTCCGCTAGCGACTCACTGTAGCCTCCAATCTGCCTTGAAGACGCAGCGTAGATGGCTGAAGCTCTTTTCAATCAATCGCTGCCACCTGCTCCTGGCAAGAAGGTTATTTTTCCTTTGTGCAAACTGATTCACCTGTGTTTTTAGAATTATATAGTAGGGGCAGGGGGTGCCGTAGATAAACGCATAACCTTAAAACCCGGTGGAAACCATATGAAGAAATGTGCATTGAAATGTTGAAATCCCACACAGCTGCCTGAACATCACACAGAATGCTGCATCATCAAGTAAAGGTCAACCCGAGCCCAATGTCGTATCACGCTGTTACGGCACAACACTCCAGCTTGTGCAAAAAAATAAATAAAACGACAAAGATACTGCACATGCGATGAAAAGTGGGTTTTTTAAAATCTGCATTTGTTCACTTGAGCACATTGACCTCCTGTGTGTGTGAGTGTGTGTGAGAGCGCAGAATCAGAGGGAGAGAGAGAGAGACAGTAAAAAGAGAGAGACATAATGAGTGTCTTTTATAGGATGTTGGCCAATATGATGTTTTATGTATCTATAAAGAGCTCCAAGGCCATGTTGACTTTTCATGGTGTAGAAACACTATCAGTGGTCTGTGAAAATGACTGTATTGTGTGAGATCGAAGTTAAGTGCAGCATCAAAAGCTTTTACCTATTCACGGTTTGTCAGAATTGAAAGCCCGAGGTGCTTCAGTCATGTAGTCACCTTTAATGGACAATTTTCGGCCACCAATGTGTACAAGCAACATTATACTGTGATTCTGTTAGCAGCGTGGCCATGGAGTGTGTTTCTTATCAGTTTGCAGCCACACACCTACTGACAGAACTCTCTCCGTTATCTGAAGGAAATAATACAGAGCGTCTTGCGGTGCTGCTTAAAGTTCATTATGTTTAAAAAATACTGTCGCTTTAGCTGGAAAAAATTAAAATTAAAAATGTGACTAGTTAAAAGGCTTATAGAAATAATAAGATAATAAACGTCCAGCTCCACCAGCTTCCTCCCACAATGCAAAGACATGCAGGTTAGATCCACTGGCGACTCTAACCACAGGTGTGAACGTGAGCTGTGATAGACTGGCGACGTCTCCAGGTTGTACTCTGCCCTCGCCCCAGTGCCAGCTGGGATTGGCTCCAGCAAACCTGCAACCCTAAAAGGGAATAATAAATGAATGAATGAAAAATAAAACATGCATATGAAAGTTTAAAAACACTGAATAAAAGCAGTTTAACGTTTAAAGTCAGTGTTTCGGGGCGTCGTGTAGCGTAGTGGTTTAAGCAGGCGCCCCATGTGTAGAGGCTACAGTCCTCGCTGCAGTCGGCCCCGGTTAGAATCCCGCATCGGACGGCCTTTCACTGCATGTCATTCCCCCTCTCTCTACCTCCCCGTTTCCTGTCACTCTCCACTGTGCTGTCCATTAAAGGCATAAAAGCCGACCCCAAAAATATACTTAAAAAAAAGAAAAGTCAGTGTTTCACCGTCAGGGAAGAGTTGGGAGCTGAGATTGATGCTAACCTTTGTTTTGGTTGTTTCTCATGAACCAGACGTTCAGCAGGTTTTTACCAGCAGCTGAATCATCCACAGAGGTTTCCTCCTCTCCAGAACAAACACACCAGGGGATGAAACGGACTGTTAACATGATTAAAATCACAGATTTCGTTATGTTTGAGAATTGCTGGAAACATTTGGGATCATATAAGTGCACAACTGAAATAAATATAACATAGGTGTAGTTATTTTAATGTAGAAAAGTGACATATTATTGCTTTTAAAAGCATAAAATTTATATAAATGCAGTAGTAGAACATGAACATATTTGAGAGTGTTGGCCTCAAACAGAGAACATCATTAACTCTGGCAGATCACGCTTGTAGCTCGCTTGTGGCAGCTGTTTCATTCATGCCTCAAAATCCGTGTTCACACACCAGCTGCTCAGCAGCCAGCCGACCAGCAGAGTTCAATCATCGATTATTATAATGTAATATTGTGCTGATGCCTTCTCGTCATTTGCCATTTAGCTCCCTTCAAAAGCCCAATGTCCGAAAACTAACTACACGACCGTTTGCTATAAATGATCTGTTCCTTGACGTAAGAGCCTGTGACTAACACACACACACACACACACACACACACACACACACACACACACACACACACACACACACAAATAGATCCTATCAAATGTCTTATTTAATCCTGTTAGAGTAACATTAAGCTAAATTAACTATAGTACCCAGACTTTTTAGAAGATGAATGACCCATTTTTAAAGGTCTATATCTTTAGTAAAAACAAATGTGCCAGTGAAAGATTCAAGACGTCACTAAGTGTTGAAAAATGCTCTGGAAATGGTTGATTTTAGTCTTTTCATAGGAACATGCACCATGTGAGCAGAACATGCACTAAAATAAGTAATAAGAATTATAATGACTTCATATTATAATTTGTCGGTTCCCAAGTTCCCAAACAAATTTTGCGCTTAATCAAATAATCAAAATCTAATATCCACACAGTGAATATTGATGCAACCACATGACCATTTCTACGCATAAAATAATTATTTCTGTGGCTTTAAATAAATCAAAACGTCCTCATGTATCACATTCATCACATCCTGGAGCTCTGTCAGTGCTGGTCTCTGAATAAAGACCTTGAATGACCACGATGACCTTTTCCCACATCAGACCATTCCACGGCGTGAAGATAACAAACTACTTCAGATTGAGGGATTATACTTTCGTACAAAGCTCTTTATTTGATTCTACATTGCGCAGCAGTAAAAGCGGAGGCTGTGGCCATAAAAAGCCGTTGCAGGAGAGTTCATTGACCTGGAGGTGAGGTACCAGCTCGCCGTGATGAGCAGTCAGCGTTTTACTCACTGTCTGGGAGCTCCATAAACGCCCGTTTATGCGGGTTATTGCCCTCTCCCTCGTAGCCTATTGTAGTCATCATCTTCAGCTGTAATTGCTCTCGTGTGTCACCACATGCAGATGAAGGGAGGGCGGCGAGAGGTGTACAGTATATAAAGGGGGAGCAGTCTCGGTCCCAGTACCTTGCTTCTTCCCTCTGCTTTGCCTCAGTGTCTGTGCTCGCACGCCTCCGCTCACCAACACCACACAAAATGGCCTTCGCCGGAAGATGGGAAACTGAGACCCAGGAGGGATACGACGCCTTCTGCAAGCTGCTCGGTGAGAACGGAGACTGAGTCTAAAACCTTTCTCAGCCGCACGACGCATGCATTTTGTTTGGGGCTATAACAAACTCACAACCCCTCTTCTTTTCCCCGCTCCAGGTATCCCCGATGACATCATCGAGAAGGGTCGCGACTACAAGCTGATCACAGAGGTCACCCAGAGTGGCGATGACTTCTCCTGGACCCAGATCTACCCCACAGACGCCAAGGTCACCAACAAGTTCACCATCGGCAAGGAGTGCGATATGGAGACCATCGGAGGAAAGAAATTCAAGGTGTGAGGGGAAAGAATCCAGAGCTCGTTCTTGAATCATATTAAAGTTTAAAGGTTCCTGCTGTGCCGAGCAGAAACATGAAACCATGTGGGTGATGATAAACCCAACGAAGAGGGGGAGGCAGGATGGATGGACGCTCCCTGGTTCCCGGGCTGATTATAACCTGTGTGTTGCGTTTTCAGGCCACAGTGTCCATGGAGGGAGGCAAGCTGAGTGTGACCTTCCCCAACTACCACCACACCTCTGAGATCAGCGGAGGCAAGCTTGTCGAGGTAAACACACTGACTCACTTGTGCTTTTAGTGCTGAGGACCTGGCGTGATGACAGCGGTTATTATACTCAACAGGGATCATTAGAGATGTTACATTTCTGTAGCTGGGGAGCAGCATTAGCTAATGAGAAGGAGCATCTCAAATGTATTGCATAAAATCCGAGCTGATGTGAAATAATGTTTCTAAATCCTGCAGTTGCTTTTGTTCCCCAGTCTGCTTCAGAGAGTCTCAAGAATTCACTTTAAAATTCAGGAAAAATAAGGCACAAGATAGAAAAATAATCTCTTTTGATGATGATATATGGGCGACATGACTGAAACTGTCATCACGATAAGGATTAGTCCGAACACGACAAACACTTTCCAAACAGCAGAACATTTAAAAACTCTGAGGTGCAAACAATATGATAGAATATGCATGATTAAAGTCAAAATAGTAAGTGAATAGAAAATGAAGTTCTGCAGTGTGACACATGTGACATGATCAGACTGCAAGATAAATAAAAAATAAATAAATAGACAAAGAAGATTTGCACTGGGTTCTGGCCTGGCGCTCGTCGAGGAACCACTAACGCTGGTTTGGGCCTGTAGTTTCTTACTTCCTGTGTTTTAACAGGTGATATTGTTCCAAATGATGGAACAGGTTTGTAAAGAGCCAAAATATCTCCAAACTGCTGAAGTTGAGCGTCCTCTCTTCTCCACGATATCTTCGCCCTCCGAGCTGCGTTCTGCTTTTTTCTGCGGTTGTTGCTCATTTCCTTATTTTCTTACTGCGCTCCGTCAGCCCGTCAGCCTCCGTGTGCGTCTGTTAATAATATCACGTACGGGCCTGTGTTTATCCCTCTCACCGTGCATCGTAAGTTGCGCAAGTTGCACTGGGAAAGCACATTTCCTATTTTAATAATTTACTTCTTCTTCTTCTGTCTCTCTCTAGACCTCCAAGGCCGGGTCTGTGGTGCTGAAGAGAACCAGCAGGAAGCTCTAACTGCTGACTGACCTTTGACCTGTTCCACAGTTACAACAGAGACCTCAGCTACTGCAATTAAATAAACGAAGACTATGACACTAACATGAATCTGTGTTTCCGTCTACACTTTCTACTGTGTGTGTGTCTCATTGTTTTACTTTACTTCTAAGGATTAAATGTGGATTTTAAACATATAAAAGGCTGCCCAAAGCGCCTCAGTGCGCTCCATTAAAACACTGGAGGCTTAGAGAGCCAGCGACCGGCCGAGCCTCGCGTTATATACAAATATACAAATAGCGGTTACTTTATAGTTTAGTTATGTAACAGCAGCAATGAATGAAAGGAGACAGAGGTCGTCTTGTTTCCGGGACATGTGGCAGGTGAACACAGCTCCACTGTGCTGCTGCTGGTCTGAGTGTCCGCTTGAGAAGCAGAATGAACATAAAATATTATCATAATTAAATTATTACGATCGTCATAAAATCAGACCGCTCAGAGGAGCCAGCCGAGAGCAGAGTGTCCAGATATTATATATATATATATATATATATGATTTGATTGTAAAGCAAAACAATAAACATTTTATTTATCTATTTGGATCCCCGTCAGCTGCTACCAAGGTAGCAACACCTCTCCCTGGGGTCCACTCAAGTATAAGTTGCATCATAATGATGCAAAACAACGTCAATTAAAATCAAAGACAAAAAAAGGAAACAAGAAAATAACAACAAATACAAGCGACAGTAAAATAATACCATTAAAAACAGAATATATAGTGACTGAAGAGTAAAGAGAGGTTAAAAAAAGATAAAGAAATAACCAACAAGTTCCTCATTAATGATCATTTATAATATATTTCTTCAATGTGAAACTGTGACGTGTTAAATGTGAAATATCTTGACGGCATAAAAATAATAAACAAGATTTGCTGTCTTATCTTTTTCTAGTAAAGGCGATAGAAAAGTCCTGACGTCACATCTGGACCGGCAGCTTTTCCAAAAGCTTCACCAACTCATTCAGCGTCGCCCTCGAGCTGCTGGGCTTCAGTTTCAATAGATTCGATAGATTCGATAGATTTGAAGGAGGTTTCACGAGTTCTCGGCTCGTGAATGAAAAGCTGGTGCAGGATTTCTTCTTCTTATATATGTCACAATAACTAAGACCATGAAGTAGCTGCTGCCCTCTCTCTTCCTCTCTCCTCGTTGTTTCTCTCTGTTCCTCTTCACTTTCCTCTCCTTTTTATTCTTTCCACCTGTTTTCTCTCCTTTGTCCTTTCCTTTCTCCTGCCCCCTTGTTCCTCCTCTGTCCTCTCCCCCGTCATGTCCTCTCTCTCCCTCTCCTTCTTGTCGCTCTCCACATCTACCCTATTTCTCCGTGGCTCCCAGCCAAGCAAACAATCAGTTAATTAACCAGCTCAGTCCCAGGATCATTGTAGCAGCTCTCAGAGGAGCACTGTGAAGGCTCTCATGTCTCTAAATTTACAGCTTCATTAAGTGGACCGGAGTAAGGTACAAATCTTTTGAATAAAATTGCCAGACTACGGCCTCAATGCATATGTGTGTGTGTGCGTGTGTGTGTGTGCGTGTGTGTGTGCACGCGTGTCGGCCTTGACTTGAGAGCCGGTGACTCAATAGCTCCCTAATGAAAACAAAATCTCTGTTTTCTGCCTCTGAGGTGGCAATTGTTTTGGTGTAATAATGAAACGTCCTCTCTTGCAGGCAGTGCTGCAATCAAGATCTCGCGCTCCTGGAAAATTAGGGTTGGAAGGCAACAAGCAAGGTGTCATTTGAGCATGTTTGTGTAGCTCAGCACTGGTGCAATCACTCTGCAATATCACTTCCTTTGTCCTCACAGACAAACAGGCCTAATTGGCTATTTCCAAGGCTACTGTTTCTGATTGGCCATTCTGCCTCTTTTCTGATTGGTCTCCATCACGGCAGCCAGAAAGTGGAGAGAGAGAGAACGGCTTGTTATCGTCTCCGTGTTGTGTTTCTCTCTCTGTTTTGCAATCTGCACCGTCAAGCGCACTTGAAGCCCGGGCCACAACACGAACCCGCGTTCCCTCGTGAAAACGAACTGCTACTAACGAGTGAGCGCCGTTTCCATGGCGTTGCCACTTTCACAACTTGTCAAAGAAACCGTTTGCAAAGAAAACTGAACTACCCGGCGATGTGATTTATCATCCCTAGTCTTACTGATTATTGATCACATGTGGCGATGAGGAGCGAGGGTGTATTCTCCTCTTGCATTGACACATATTTATTCAATTAACATATTTAACTCTTAACGTTTCCCTCCTGTTAATCAAGGTGTAGAGTTGAAAGTTGGAGAAGTTGCAGACAGCGTGGTGAGTCACTGGAGTGTCTCATTGTCAGTCGGTGGTAAATATGTGGAAGTAGTTCATGAGTTCAGCTCGTCTGACATCTGTTGGACCTGAAACTGAACTTATCTGTTATGATATTAGCAAGCCCACGTTTGGTTTGGCGCCATCTGGTTGGTTTAACTCCCGTCTTTTCTCTTTCAGTTGCCTGGTTTTACTTTAATTTTCAACTTTGACAAAGCGTGCGTCATAACAAACGTGTGACGTACACGAGTGGGGTCAGCTGGGGTTATTCTCCACTCGTCTTTGCACCTGGACGGGAGTTTGTGCTCGCGTGGATTTCAGTCATTTGTGCGCTGTGTTTTTAAACTTGTGTGTGGTTGCCGGATCAAAGTCCTGACATTTCATTTTAACACAAAAGTCTCACTTCTCATGTGGTGTTGGCAAAAGGTGGACAAAGAGTCAGCGGGAGAAAAAGTGAAAGTACCTGCATAATAGTGTAGAAAATCAAACAGACTTTGCTAATTGTCCGCAGTAATTAATGACACCTGGTGGTCTGACTTCATGCTCGTTCCCGCAGCTGAAAACGGCGTAACTTTTATTTTTTGTTTCAACGTGTAACCTGACTTTCTGCTCATGTCACTTTGCAGGATGCATAATCACATCCTGTCGAATCAGCCTCACCTCACAGACCCAGAAAAGATTTCTTTAAAGGGAAGAAAAGCCTGACTTTCTATTTGCTATCACAGAAGTAACTCTATCATCCCCACAGGTCCAATTTCAATCACAGTGCTTTGGAGAATACGCTGGATATCGAGACACGCATCGACGGGAAGAAAAGCGATTCGGTGGGGACGAGTGGGGAATTGAGACAATAATAAAAACCAGGAACAGCGAGAGAGAGAGAGAGAGAGAGAGAGAGAGAGAGAGAGAGAGAGAGAGGGAGAATACTCGGGGTAGGATAATGAAGGGGTGACATACCACAGTGTGATTGGCACGTTAGGCGTGAATAACCTGGAATTACCTGTAATAACCATGGTAACACTGGCAATTTGCTTGAAGATCCCCTGTCTTGGTGAAAGGTGGTCGGTCCAACTGGATGGAGAAGAAAACCTCACAGCTCCATTTAGTGTTACTGTGTTTTCAGCCAACAGCTACAGTCTGTGACAAAGAGCCTCCTGCTTCTCTCTCCGTGTGCTGCTATTGTTCACCGGAGGTTTGTTCTATCACTAATAACTCCTTCTCAAATATATATATTTATACCCACCGTCTGATTTGTGTTGGCCAAAGCATTTCTTGGCGATCGCTCTCTCAGCTCGTGTGTCCGCGCACGTCGATCTGAGAGCGCAGTTTATAGATATATAAATGTTTTCTCCATCTCCTTGTAAAGCGTTAGTTCGGGGAGATCCAGTGATATGACGAAATATGTTCGTACAAGACGATGATGAGAGGACGTCAACGCCGTTATCATGCAAGAAAAGAAGAGAGTAGAATGTAGTTTGGAAAATAAAAACTTTGGAGTAACTGACTCAGCAGTTAAAGGAACTTTTTTATAAGTTGACTTAAACTAACATGGACTTTTATCTCAGCACTAAATCCACTCACGTTCAATACATTTGACGCATTTCGTTCTTCTGCTGCTGAGGGTAATGTGGATAGTCCCTCTTGAAGCGCGTTCATAGTATTGCACTTAGTTGTACACGAAATATTCCAAACATGGTTGTGTGTCAAGTTTAAACTCTGCTCACCGTCTGACCTCTGCACACCCAGCTGTGTGAAGTGGACGTCCTCGCTTCACTGTCAGTCGCAGAGAGTCACAGGACGCCACCGCTGAATCGTGACATCAGAAAAAAATCCCTTTGCTGGGGAATCAACACGCATTTTATCCTTGTGCTTCACAGTGTTGGTTTTATAACATTGTGGGTATGAAGCCATAATGCTGCTTGTCTGCTTTTGAGACTGAGAAATTAACACATACAAATGAAATAATAACGGATTAGGTGAAGTTTACTAAAGTGCATTCTCAATTTAATTTTACTATAAAAACTTACATTAAATTCTCTGAATAGGAAACTCTCCTCTGCTTCTAACTTCTCCCAGACTTAGGAGCTAACTGTTGAGCGAAGTGGCTTCCTGAACAGCTCTTAGTAAAAAAAAACATGCCCATTACTTTTAGGAGTTTCTTCTAAATCTGCAGGTTAGGAGCTGCTTTTAGCCTTAAGATGCTTTGTGTAATACGAGTCCTGATTTCACAACTCTTCCGCTGAATGTGTCAATACTCACGGAAATCTGCTTTTTTATTAAATAATTCAAAGTTACATGTGGTCAAATCCACGATGTTATTCTCTGTTTTAAAGTACCGATACTTTTCACTGCAGAGACTCCGTCTAACTTCCTGCCTCCGCCTCCGTCTCCGTCCCAGCTGTGACAGACTGTGTACAGATTAATGCAGGGGCCGTACTGTGTGAAGGGGTGAATGCAGAACTCAACGCACGACTGAAAGCCTGGGTGAATGTACGAGTCAGTGTAAGGTTGAATAATGTATAAGTGACTGAATAGCACAGTTGTGCCAGCATCTTGACAGTACAGTCCTTTATTCTGGAAACCCCCCACCACCACCACCTTTACTGCCAACCCACTGTTCTTTACCATAGAGCTGCATTTAATGATATATATATATATATATATATATATATATATCCCAATGAACTGGCTCCTCCCCCTCTGCAGTTAGTATAGAGCGATCATTGAAATCGACACACAGAGACTGTATTTATGACGGTATGTT